AGTAGTATAGAATTTTTTTTTTTTGGCCGACCATGAGAAAAATATTTGCACATAAAAATGGTAGTATACAGTATATAAGATTGATAAAAATTGTAAAGTGTTAATGTCTTTATCCTAATGATGGCGCTGCCACCATTTTTCCAAATCAATCCGCGCGCTAATGAAGCCAATTAGGTCCTCTCTCTCTCTCTCTCTCTCTCTCTATCTTTCACCCTTCGTGCCGTCTACGACACCTACAACCTTATATATACCACTTTGTATTTTTCCTCTTTTTTTCCTTTTCCATACATGCACATTCTCTTGACTGAATGAACTTTTTTTTTTTTCTTTTTCTTTTTCTTTTTCTTTTCTTTCTTTCCACCAAGAAGCTGCCCATCTCTTCTTCTATATCTTCTACATTTTCACCTTCCTTGGGTTGGTGAGGAAGTTTGACATACTTTATTGCTATATAGCAAAAAGAGAGAGAGGTCCAAGGATTAATTAATTTCTATGGAGAACTATCAAATGTTCTTTCCTTGTTCGTCGCCGACCATGCAGGCTACAACAAGCTCTCAAGTTAATTATAACAATAGTTTTCATGAAGATGGGTCTAATGGGTTGTTAAGGTTGAAGACAGACAGTTTGGTTCAAAGATTGGAAGAAAATCATCATCATCATCATCATCACCATGATCTTCCTCCATCTGGAGGAAGCAATATTGTTGGGGGAAATTCCTCCTCCGCCGGCGGAAAGAAAAAGGAGAAGAAGATCAGAAAGCCTAGGTATGCCTTTCAAACCAGGAGTCAGGTTGATATACTTGATGATGGTTACCGGTGGAGGAAATATGGGCAAAAGGCAGTTAAGAATAACAAATTCCCCAGGTTAGATAGTTAATTTTTACATTCGTCTTAACAATATTATATATATATATTTGCATGTGCAAAATTAGGTTTTTTTAATGAATAAAAATGCAAAATTGTTGAGTTATTATTATTAATTTTTTAATATTAGGGGTAGGACTCGAAATCCATGTCTCGAGTTTAACATGAGAAGACTTTTATAAGAAATTAATAGTCATTAGATGACAAGATCATTCTTAATATTATTGAGTTAATTAGTGTTTGTAACTGACAATATATATATTCGACGTGCGTGCATGCAGAAGCTACTACCGGTGCACACATCAAGGGTGCAATGTAAAGAAGCAAGTCCAACGATTAACCAAAGATGAGAGCGTTGTAGTCACCACCTATGAAGGGATGCATAATCATCCTATAGATAAGCCTACCGATAATTTCGAACAAATACTCACTCAGATGCAAATTTACTCATCCTACTGAGTTCAAAACCCCAATTTACACATGCAGATATATATATATATATATATATATTGGTGCAGCTGTCTTGTTTAATTTTGTGAACGATATGCATTTCAATCCTTGTGTATGAAATAAAGTGGTAGGAAGAATTGTAACTTCATAGCGGATGAAGTTATAATAGGGAGGAATTATGGTTTTTGCAGTACCCTAAAGTCTTGATCAGACAACTATTGTTTTAGTTCCCCCCCTTTTTTTTTTTTTTTGGTTGTTGTTTGTTGTAATTTCTCAATATCTCCAAGGTATGAACTTGTTTGAGCCTTTGGAACTTGTAGCTTGTCAATATGCCAAAAATAACATAATTTTTGTTCTTTCAAATCAACATTGCATTCTTGCTTTTTATAATGTGAAGTGATAAGATGCAGAATCACCCTTGTTTTCTCGTTCAAAAGAATCTGTTACTAAAAGTTTAAGTAGCAACATATTTTCTTTTCAATAAAGAAAAAGTTTAACCATATCATCTTGAGGTATCCATAGTTTGAGGGAATCGTACGGAATGAGAGGAGAGGAGAGATAAATAGAAGAATCAATCTCGCCTCCTTTGGATACGTTAGAAGAAGTCAAAGAAATAAAAGTAAAAAATAAACTAAATGAACTCTTTCTTCTTTTGTTTTGTCAAACTTTTTAATAACCAAATACAAGAATTGTCTCCCTCTCTCCTCCCCCTCAAACCAAACATACCCTAGTTCTAAAATTAAGGATTTTAAGGCAGGTGAGTGCCAACTCGAATAAATTATTCATCGAAAATTAATAAATATTATAGCAAATACTAGCATTCCTCACAAAACAAGCAGTCCTTTCTAGTTATTTTAAAGGAATATCCACTGCACAATAGCAGCGGCATAAAGATAAAGGAGGAAGCAAAAGAAAAGTATCGCAGCCAGCATAAAGTGAAAGTGAAAGAAAGAAAAAGTCCAGGTACTTGTAATTCTGCCTTCCTTTCCCCTCACATCACTTGTTTTGCCGAATCCATAGTCAAAATTTCAAAGCAAAATTGTAGCTTTACAAAAGTGGGATCTTAAGTACACAACTCTGGAGATATGAATATGAGAAAAAAAAGGGGCTGAAAAGCAAGTTCAAGAGGCTAAGAAATACCCATACATTACACAAGTCTTATTATAAATAAATCTCCATATGTTGAAAACCAAGCATTCAAGTCATTAAGACTATCCTAGTCCTCCTTGGGAGGGACCTTTGAATCCAGTTCTTTGGGCTTTGCCTTCTCTCCTGTCCTGAAAGGAGAACCACCAAAGTCATATTAATGTCTGCAGCACAAAGAAGAGATTAAACCACCACCACCACCACCACCACTACCCCCACCCAAAAAAAAAAGTTTACCATAAAATTAGTGGAATATTTCATAGAGGAAAAGGACATAAAGGAGAAGGGATTTGTATGACGTGATCATCAGAACATCACGACCATATTGCTCAAATTTTTCATTCTAATGACTAGAACAGCATGAAAGAAAAAAACCAGAGATGACTAGCCACGACTTAACTTCCAACTTGTCAAAACCACGGGATCACAAATGAACAAGCACACACATGTCTACAAAGATATAGACAAAATGTCATGTAGAAAGCAGAAAGACCATTCATGTTTGTACAGGGACGGAGCCAGAAATTGAAGTTAGGGGGGGGGGGGGGGGTGAGGGGAAAGGTTAAAATTTTTATTGTGAGTTATATATTACTTCATGTTAATATAATTTAAACTAATTTTTATACTAGTTGTTTATTTTATGTATGTCTCACTTATTTATGTGGGAAAAACTTTAAAATTAATTAGATATATTTAGTTTTATCGAGAAAATTAAATATATTTAGTTATTTTTGAATGATATATAATTTTAAATCCCTAAATAAATAGTATAAAAATATAGTTTATTTTTTTAAATGGTTACCTATATGATAACAGTTTTAAATTTAAAATGTATGATTTATATGAATAAAATAAATTCAACCATTATTTTTGTAGTATATAAATTGTACTAAAAAAATTATATACAACTAATATAAAAATTTATATAAGTTACATCAATATAATTAATTAGATCTTGATGATTTTTTTTAATATTTTCTCTTACCTAGACCATATTATCATATCTTAAAAATTCATCACAAAGAGAGAAAAAATTTCTTTAGCTAAATCCTAATTTTTTTTTTTTATATACATATTTGAAATGGTCCCAATAATTTAAAACCTCAAAAAACAAAATTTTGTAGAAAATAAAAATTAATGTACCATATTTGAAAATTTTCAAAAGCTAAGGGGGGGGCAGCTGTGTTTGTATAACATTCAGTCCACAACACACATCTTCTCTCAAAAACATCTTATATTAAGGAAGAAAAGATGTAATAATTTTCAATCGAATCGACTCTCTGTTAAAAAGAAATAAAAACCATCAAACACCATCAACCATTTACATATCCAGAAAGGAGGTATTTGGTCAAACTGACTCTTCTTACAAGTTGAAATTCATAAACCCTAAATCGAATTGATGCAGGCACATTCCTATTCCTAACTTTGCAATTTCAAAATTTACCAAAAATCATCCTTCTCCATCATAAAACGATGGCATTCACCATAAACCTAATTTGCAGAAATACTATTTTCTAACAATTACAAAGAGGGGGGGGGGAATTTATTTCATAGAGGAAAATGGAAATGATAATGAGAAAAGAAAAAAGAAGTTTACTTGGAAGCAGCAGAGGATTCTTCTTCGAGCCACTGGCGTATATGCTTGACATTACGCCTAAAGATCGACGCCGATTGCTTGACATCGCTCCTCAGTAGAAGAACCACCGCACTAACACCAGCCACAGTCAATATGAAATTAGTGAGTCCCATCTTTATCTTCTTCACGACCAATAGATATCACCAATCGGAGCAAGTCGGGAAGTCACTCGGCGGTGAACTGGAAGGGTTTAACGGGATTTGGGAGGAGGTTTTCTGGGGGAAGACGACGATCAGGCGCAGCAGGAGAATTAAAAGGCTTTTCTTTGGATTTACATTTATCTGTGAATGGCGGCCCAATATATATTTTTTTTTAACGATTAGTCATTTAGTTGTGAGCAAAGGCCCAAAAAATTATTTATCCCAAAAAAGCCCAATAAATTTAAATTTGAGGCCCATTTTTTTCCACCTCAAAAGGATAACCTCTAGGATGATGCTGGATTCTGTAACAGTAGCTTCAATACATGAAGCCCAAAACAAAGCCTGCATGCTTTTTTTTTTTTTTTTTTTAATGTGGAGTTTGCTTTTTCTTTTTGCTCTACTAACAAGTGAAAGTGATGGTTTTTTTTTTTTTTTTTTTTTGGGGCAATATTGGTATTTAAACTTTTGTCATGAACTAATGGATATCTCTTAACACTCCTCAATTATAAGGTTTTGATTTTTTGACAACAAAGAAAAATATTTTGAAATTATATTAGGTTATTTGGATTAATTTTTTCTAAACAATTAATAGTATATAATAAATATCTAATAATTAATAATTATTATTGTTTATAATTCATAATATTGAATTTATTTTATTAAAATTAACAATTAATAACTATTTTTATAAAATTAAAACAAACACCTTAATTTATAGATGAGTAGATAATTAATGTATGGCTCTAATAAAATAAGACTAAGAGAGAGAGAGACCAATACAAAGACAAAATTTGTTCTCATCATTTCACTATCAGCAGATATCTATCCAACTGTTGTTATCTCTTCTTTTACAAGACTGATATCCAAAGAACATTGGTAGGGCCGGTGGAATTCTTCTCATGGGTATTGAAACCCCCTGACTAGCTAGCTAGGACCACAATATAAGATGTTTAACGTAAGAAAAATGCAGAATTTTATAACCTTAATCCCTCAATTATTGGACCAAAAACTAAAAGAAAAAAAAATGCAATTTTGTTTCATCGCAATATGCTCTCTTGAAGGACATTTGATTTTTGACTCATGGCTAGTCACTTCAAATGTGCATGATAAGTCTTATGAGGAAAGGCATCATTTGGATTGGACTTAATGCTTGCACGTTTCATGAATAAAAATGTTTAGTTTTTTTCTTATTAAGTTGTTAAGGGGCAAGCTTGAAGCCCACTCACAAGAGAAAGAGAAAGGGAAATGCACCTCAAATTGATTGGATGTCTCGAAGGGTCAGGTGTGAATAAAAATGTTTAGTTGGAACAAGAAATAGTTAAAATATTATTAATGGAATCAAAGGTATATATATATATATGTATTTATTAATAACATTTTAGTTTATTTTTTTGTTTAAATTGATATTTTAAAAATTAATTTAATAACATTAAATAAATTAATATATAATATTATAAATAAACATTTAAATAAAAAATAATTATATAATAATACATTATAAATAAATAAATAAATATTTGTAACTATAATATTTTCGAAAAAGTTGAGAATCCATTAGTAGGAAGAGATGTACCCACTATATATGATGATGGTTGGTGCCATGTGGGACGCTTATCGACCAGTTTGGAATATCTTACCCAAGAAAGATAAACGTTCAGAGACAACAATATATAATATGCATTGTGGAAACTTTATCCATGACTAGATAGTGCATGTTCGAGTAAATAAAACAAAGAAAGACAAAGTTGCAACATAAATCAAATATGTGTATCCTTTTAAAACTTAACCGAACGAATCTTTGTCTCAGAAATTTACACAAATTAATAGGTTTGCATTATTTTTGGTAATCATAAGTGTAGATTAATAATGTTTTGTTGGATTAATGGTTTGAATATCAGTTTTTACAATTAAAATGTAAATGATAGTTGATATCAAATAGTTAATATATAATTGTTATTATTTATAATTTTAGAGTTTTTTAAAATTAAAGGTGTGATAAATATATATATTTTTTATAAATTTATATTGAAAAAGTAATAATTAATCTTTAATTTATTAATTATTTAATTAAATTTAGTCATTTAACATCAACACTAAAATTAATATCAATTTTTATATACATTTATGATAAAAAAGAACCATTGACCTATGCTTAGGTTAAAAAAAAAAAAAAACCCATAATTTTAAATACCTTTATTTGATTAACATCTAAAGCAAACAGGGTCTAGCTAATAATTGAAGAGGGTGTTTAATTTGCATCAAATTTTCACTAAACTTGCTGCTGCTATAACTAGTAAGTTGAAAAGTTTGTTCTCATATATATTATTCTTGAAAAAAATGCTTGGAAAGAAGAGACTGATCATCCACTAAAAAAAAAAAAAAGAAAAAGAAGAAGAAGAAGAAGAAGAGATTGATCAATGTTGAAAACGACACTATCCTTATCCTTCCAGCATAACATAACATTAATAATATATACAAGATCTTGGACCTGATCTCTTTGCTAAGAAAAAGGGAGAAAGAGGGAGAACGTCTAGCTCAAAATCTGTCTTGGTTTGTAATTAATTAATTAATTAATTAACTGCCACTTTGTAGGCAGGATGTTAATTATTTTTATAGCTATATAAACTACTCATTAATTTAATTTAATTTAATTAATTAATCAGTACTAAATAATATATATTCCTCTCTAGCTAATATAATTAATTAATTAAATCATGAAAAGGCCGGCCAGGCACATGCTGTGCTAGCTAGCATTCACAAAGACAAAAGAGCAAACCAGAGAGAAGAAACATATTCGATGTGCTTGGTATGGAATGGTAATGGGAATGGTAGGATCCACTGCTGTAACGCCTGCCTAACTGATAAGGCCCTACACTCCCCTTATTCCCCCTAACAAAACCTACTTTTAGTTATTTATCTTAGTAAATTTGTAAATTTTAACTATTCATTTTATATGTTGATATTTTTAACCTTTCACTTATTTAAATTAAAGAAAAGATTCTTTCATTCTAATCATGTCTATGGGAAAGTACCCCTTGTACTCAATTTTATAATAAAATTTTAATTCATCTAAAAAAAAAATTAAAGAAAAGAGGCCAAAATTAACGTCAAGTTATAACATCTATGATGTAACCACTAACATTTCATTACTTCTGTCCCTATCACTATCACTTAAGCTAATTTGTGCGAACTTAACATGCTAACATAACTTTTCAAGGGCGGAAGATTTCCGGCTTATCTTTAAGTGGGTTCCAACTATTAGAATAGAATTAAATAAAAAAAAGTACTGATACAAGAATAATTTTTTTGTATTATATTTTTATATAACTTTTATATATTATTAAATAAGTGAATACGTTTAATATTATAGATCGTGTATAAATTAAAAAAATTTACTGATACAAGAATAATTTTTTTGTATTATATTTTTATATAACTTTTATATATTATTAAATAAGTGAATACGTTTAATATTATAAATTTTAAGTAAATAAAAATAATCAATTATTGAAATAATACGTAAAATTATCATAAAAAATAATAAGAAAATTATTCATAAATCATTTTTTTATTGATTGTCTTTATAAACATCAACCTATAATACATATAACATGACATATATGTCCTAATTAAGCCATATATCTTAAAATAACATCTAAACGGCTGCAAATATCCACCTTAGTGTCCTGATATGGCTTAATTAGGACATATAGGTTGATGTTAATAGAGACAGTTAATAAAAAAAAAAAAACAATTTAGGAATCATTTTTTGAGAAAATTTTACGTGTCATTTAAATTATTAACTCTTTTTATTTATTTAGAACTTGTAATATTAAATACATCTATTCATTTAACAATATATAAAAATTGTATAAAAATAATATAAAAAAATCATTCATATATCACTACTTTTTTTATTTAATTCTATTCTAACGACTAGGATCCATTTAAAAATAAATGAAAAATCTTCCTCCCTTGAGAAGTCATCCTAGCATGCCAAGTTGACACAAATTAGCTTAAGTGGCAGTGATAGGGACAAAGGTAACAAAATGTTAACGGTTACGTCATAATTAAGCGTCATAACTTATGTTAATTTTGGGTTATTTTTCACGATTTAAATAGATAAAGGATTAAAAATATTAAAATATAAAATGATGGATTAAAACCTATAAATTTATTAAATGGTCAAAAGTAGGTTTTACTGATTCCCCTTAGCTAACAACTATTTATTTTCATGCGTAACCGTTTCATATCTTTAGAAGGTTCCATATATTCCAAAGAGTTCATTTAATTAATTACAAAATTAAAGGAGAATATATACGCTCGATCAATATAGTATTAAATAGTTGACGGACCAAAAATCTGATTAAGAAGAATACTAATTTTTATACAATTAGTTTAATATATTGTACAATATATATTTATTGAAAAATTATTATTTTTTGAATTAAAATTAAAATTAAATAAATTTAAAAATACAATTATGCATATATGATGTAAAAATCATCATTTGAATCAATTATACTTATATTATATTTTAATAACTAAATCAAGATGAGTATCAAAAATAATTATATTAAACTGAATATATATCAATTACCTTCTAATCAAGAAATTGCATGTTTTTTCAACAGTTATTTCCGTACAACCACTATATAAAGGAGCCCACCTTAACTCTCTTGTCCGCAATTCAATCGCATCATCCTATTACAATTGATATACTGTAATTATTTATGGAGTCCATCTCCAACCACAAGCGCAGAGGGTGGTCCATTAAGGCGAAGCTGATGCCATTCTACCGCACGCAGCCAAAGTCTGCCACTCCTCCAGCAGTTCCCTACAGCAGTAAGGTGGTGAAGCCTAACCAGACGAAAAATGCCTTTTTGGTCCAACAGGATCACTATATGCAGATTTCCCCGGCGAAGCAGAAAGCTGTGTCTAATTTCATTGTGCCGACCACCGATGCTAACCTGGACAAGTTCGACAAGTTGTTTGGTGGTGGCACTGGCGATGAAAGTGTGGATACCAGAGCCGACACTTACATCTCTTACGTTCAAGAGCGTTTCAAGCTTGAACGGATCAACTCTGAGTGAATGAATAAGTGAGAATAAGTGAGAATAAGTGAGGCTCCATTAGGGGGAAGACGTGTATTTCAATATCTATTATCTTTTAATGCAACTGATTCAACTGCTTATCAAATTAAAGATCATTATGCCCGAAAAACTCGCTTATGTGGCCTACTTCATGAGTAGCAGGTGGAGTTCATTTATTTTTTTGGTTCGATCTTGACATAAGCATATACTAACTTTTTAACTCATGTTTTCCTTGTCCAAAAAAAAAGAAAAAAAGAAGAAGATCATTATGCACGGTGAAAGTATACTGATTGCTTTATCATCGAATGTCATTAATGCTTAACACCGCATAGATTTTGTGAAAATTAGACATGTTTAAGAAAATACAAGACAAACTTTCAACTTTAAACCAATTTGCAATGAAATAGGTGAGTAGTTATACATGTTTTTTAGTATTAATTTTTATTTAGGATTTTCTTATTGTACAAATCTATTATTCCCCCATCTCTCTCTATCTCTCTCTTTTTAAGTTGTCCCAATTTGAATTTACACAATTATTATTGTTATTATTTTTTTATCAACTAAATAAAATTTTTATTAATTTAAAATCCAAAGAGTACTCCAACTTTTATTTACATCACACACATCAATACAGAAATTTAAAAATTGATACCAATCACCATAACTAAAAACAGCAGATTTTGATTTTCCTTTTATCCAATCAAAAGTCTTTTTACTTGTACTAAATCAAAAATATTGCATTCATCCCAAGATAAATTATTCTATAGCACCAGATGCTCCAAGCTGTTGTAACAATAGTAAGCACCCAGCGTCTCCATACCTTCTTGCCAACCCAAACAAAAACTTGGGGAATTTACATAACTAAAGGGTACAGAATAATAAATAATAAATATACAATTATTATA